ATGCAGTTGTATCCTGCTATATACATCTTAAAGGGTTTATCGCGCCAACGTTCTTGTCACGTACTGTTTATTTAAAATTCTTGAAGCGGCTAAGCTGCTCACTTACACCACTGGCATTGCTAAATTGCTTAGCAAATGACTGCATTTGCAGAATCCTTTGTATAACTATTTTTAAGGGAAATTTGGATATATGCTGTGCGTGTCCTGCAAGATGGTGGGAATTCTTGAAACTGCTGCGGTTGTAATTTGCCTTGGGATGAAAAAGTAGAAGACAACAAAAACATTAATGTGATAGGGTGATTGGATAATTCATGCAATTGCAATATGGTAACCTCTAGCACTCGATGGCACTCAACAATCTCTAGCACATGGGGCTACTGAACACTTGAAATGTGGACAGTCCAAATTGAAATGGCACACAATTCTTAAGAATGGGTACACAAAAAAGAATGTTAAGGTTCTTATAATTTTTATATTGATTGCGTGTTGAAATAATACTTTTTATATATTGATTTAAACAATTCAAATTGATCTATTATACTTTTTAAATGTATTTGCTAGAATTTTTTCAAATTTTGTGGCTCACACTAAATTTCTATTGGACAGTGCTGTTTCAGATTTGCTGGTGAACAAACATGGAATCAATGTGACTTTGCCTTGCTCAGAAACCATTGACAGGAAGTCAACACTTGTTAAACTTGAAGTTGAGGAAATAAATATAAGCCCCAAGTACTGGAAACCTCACCCCCTCTTGGTGATGGTAGTGGTTGCATGCCCTTGAATCAGTTCCAACTCCTAGCCACCCTATAAAGGGTTTGTTGTTGTTGTTAAGTGCCATCGAGTCGGTTCCGACCCATAGCGACCCTGTACAGGGTTTCCGAGGGTGTAAATCCTTACGGGAGTAGAAAGCCTCATCTTTCTCCCGCGGAGCGGCTGGTAGTTTCGAACCGCTGACCTTAAGGTTCGCAGCCAGATTCGTAACCACTACGCTACCAGAGCTCCTTAAAGGGTTTATTAGGCTATAAATCTTTACAGGAGTAGAAAGCCTCATATTTTTCTTTCAGGGCAGCTGTAGATAGAACTGCTGACCTCGTAGTTAGTAGCCCAACGGCTAACTCACTACTCACCAGGGCCCCTTTCACCCCCCTACACCCCGGATTTATCATTGTGTATAACATTAGAAAACATTCTTTCCAGGGCTATTTAAGGAGATGATATGAGTAGGAACCAACTCAACAGAGTATAACAACAACTAAGTGACGCATCTGTGTAATGTGATGTCACAAGTTTGTGAGATGTAGCTTAGGGGATAGGTTCTATCTGTTTTATGGTCTTGGCATAAGAGGTTTGTTGTTGTTAAGTGCCGTTGAGTCGGTTCCGACCCATAGCGACCCTGAACAGGGTTTCTGAGGCTGTAAATCTTTACAGGAGCAGAAAGACTCATCTTTCTCCCACAGAGCAGCTGGTAGTTTCGAATTGCTGACCTTGCTGTTCGCAGCCTGATTCTTAACAACTACGCTAGTCTAGCTAATGAGTTCTGGTGTGGTTCCGGAGGACAAGCACTGGAATGCTAGTATGTGGCAATTCACCACCCACTGCTTGGGAGCTCATGACAGGGCCACTAAGATTAGCAGGAGGTCTTCTGACTCCAGCTTCAGTTTTCTTTGCTCTTACACAGAAGCCTCATGATTTGTGTTCATGACTGTTGTTGTTGAGTGCCATTGAGTCAATTCCGACCCATAGCGACCCTTTATAGGGTTTCCAAGGAGCAGCTGGTGAGTTTGAACCGCAGACCTTGCAGTTCAAACAGCTGCGTTTACCCACAGCGCCACACCAGGACTCCGTATTCATGACTGAGGGTCCTTCTATAGTGGGGGTTGGATTGTGAAGATACACATTTTTATTTAATGTTTTATTGTCACTGTCTTGAAATTCTTAATCTTTGAACAAGGAACCACATTTTAATTTTGTCCTGGGCCTTGCAATTTTTGTAGCTGATTCTGTCTCTGTGTAATAGTCTTAGGAAGTGAATTTGCATAATCATAAAACCATTTTCAGTCTAGTAGCAAGCACTTGGTAGCCTGAGTTGTTGTTGTTACGTGCCGTGGAATTGGTTCCGACTCATAGCGACCCTGTACAGAGTTTCTGAGGCTGTAAATCTTTACAGGAGCAGAAAGCCTCATCTTTCTCCCGCGAAACAGCTGGTAGTTTCTAACTGCTGACCTTGAGGCTCGCAGACCGATTCATAACTACTACGCTACCAGAGCTCCTGAGTAGAGGAGTTAAAATGTAAATAATTGGGTCAACCTAGAATAGGAAAGCCAAACAGCAAGAAAATGAAAGACTTGATGGTGCTAATGAGGGTATAATTCCTAAGATTAATTATATGATATAATCGAGAAAAAGATGAGGCTTTCTGCTCCAGTAAAGATTTATAACTCCAAACCCTATCCAGAGTCAATATGAGTCAGAACAGACTCAAAGGCACACAACCATGTGATAGAATTAGTTATTGACCCTGGCTTCAGAACTGTTAAGGAAGGAAGTAAAGTCAGTATAAAAACTTTTAGATGCATTTCCCAATCTAAATTATATGGGTCTGTGGAAATCTAGACTGAAAATTCCTGACTGAAATTTATGGGAACGTTGTTGTTTTGTTGCTGTTAAGTGCTATCAAATCAGTTTCGACTCATAGCGACCCTTTGTAGGATTTCAAAGGAGCAGCTGGTGAGTTTGAACACCCGACACCTTACAGTCCATCACATTTACCCACAGTGCCACACCAGGACTCCATAGAACCATTAAATAAAGCAATTATGTTTGAGTTTAATTTCTCAATCTGTCTGTATTTGAATTCTGGTTATACATCTGGTACTATGAATGAACATATGGAACTCCTGGTATGGCGCTGTAAGAGAAGCCCTGGACTGCTAACTGCAAGGTTGGTGGTTCAAGTCCACCAGCTGCTCCTTGGAAACCTTATACAGGGTCATTATGAGTAGGAACTGAGTCAGTGGCACTTAACAACCGCAATGAATTAACATAGCTTTGCCCTGTAAGAACTGACATCCAATTTCAATGAAGACTGAAAGTATCTAAATTCACCTTAAATCTAGACTATCACTTCTAACCAGTCTCAGTTAGAGCTAGACATTAAAATGGTTGTGGTTGGCCTCTTCTATTAAAACATCACTTTTAACCATAGTTATTTTAATTTGTACTTAAAAGCTATTAGAATATTAATCTTTTCAAACATCCAATTTTGACACTGAACATTTTTTATTTATTTTTCTGACATTATTAGAATAGAAAATTCTATTGCTCTTCTAACTCAGTGTCCCAAAGTGCAGTGGTTGTAAATAAAAATGGTTTTAGGTAAAAGATAGTCAAACGTTTTTAATAGTTGTATATGTACTATATTTTGAAAAATATTATTAGCATGTCATACCTATGACTTATGGGGGTGCAGTGGCTCTTTAGAACAAGCACTGGGCTTCGAACCTCAAGTTCAACAGTTTGAGTCCACTGTTTGCTTCAACAGAGAAAGATGAGGTTTTCTAATTCTGTAAAGATTTACAGCCTCAGAACCCCTATATAGGATCACTATGAATCAAAACCAACTTGATGGCAATTAATAACAACAATCCATGATTTATAGCCATATGATTAGATTAAATTTTATTTATAGACAATTTAAAGAAAATACTAATAATGGATATAGCAAGTTATTAGCGTTAATGACTGAAGTGTGGGAAACATGAACTAACTAACTCATTCTGTCTAAGTGAGAAAACAAGAGACCCCATTCACACATAACCTTTTTAAGTCTTGGAGCCAGTACATGTCAAAGCTAGGAAGAGAACTCAAATATGCTCAATATAGGAGTCCTGGTGTGGCACTGTGGGCTAATATGCTGGACTCTAAGGTCAATTTGAACCATGAAGTTGGTGGTTCAAGCTCACCAGCCACTCCTTGGAAACCCTATACAGGGCTGCTATGAGTGAGAACTGACTCATTGGCACTTAACAACAACAACAATGCTCAATACAAGGAGCTCTGATAGCATAGTGGTTATGAGTTGGGCTGCTAATCTTAAGGCCAGCAATTGGAAACTACCAGCGGTTCCATGGGAGAAAGATGAAACTTTCTGCTCCCATGAAGATTGATGGCCTCGGAAACTCTATGCAAGGTCTTTGTAAGTCGGAACTGACTCCATGGCACATAACCACCACATTCCAATATTTATTCTGCTGTATTACTGTTGTGGTTTAAGTGCTATGAAGTTGGTTCTGACTCATAGCGACCCTGTATAGGGTTTCCAAGGAGCGGTTGGTGCGTTTGAATCACCAGCAGTCCAGTGCCTATCCTACAGTGCCACACCAGGACCCCATTCTGCTGTGTGGGCTGCTTTGTATCACTGAAAGTTAGAGACCTCTGTTTTACTAATGGTATTGCACTTTAAATCTTCACTTTCAGTTATGGTGGTCTTGTGCCACTATTTGTATTGATGTTAAATAAAACTTAAAATTTGTTGTACACACATATCTAGCTCTCAGAAATGTGATCTGTACAACACAGATCTAGAACATTTCTGTTGTTGCAAAAAGTTCTATTGGACAGTGCTGCTGTAAACTATTGTTTTGGAGTATGATTCACAGCCCTTTCAAGTTTTATCCCCTTCAAAGGATAATACTATTAATCTACTTACCACAGTAAAGTTATTTTAACCCTGAAGTTAAATTGAAGGTACTAGTAATGGTGCAATTAAGATAATTGATCATGGGAAATGAAGCCGGATGGAGTTCTCAGATTCCTACCAGTTCATCTTAGTGAAGGAAGTGGTTCTTTTTTATCTCCTGAATTCATGACCAATAGTAGAAATAGAAATGTATCGAAGAACAGAGTATCTTCATAGAGAATTTTAAGGCACCCTCAATAGTTTATTCAACTTAATAATTGTATCTTGTTGATATCTTAAAACTCATTTTATTTTAAAACAGATTTTCAATGAATGGACCTGACTGGACTCTTTGAGCACATCATTAAACATGAGTGGTACAAAACCTGATATTTTGTGGGCACCTCATCAGGTTGATAGATTTGTTGTATGTGACTCAGAACTGAGCCTCTATCATGTGGAATCTACTGTGAATTCAGAACTTAAAGCTGGATCTCTACGTTTATCTGAAGACTCTGCAGCTACATTATTATCAATAAATTCAGATACACCCTATATGAAATGTGTTGCTTGGTATCTCAATTATGATCCTGAATGTCTCCTTGCGGTTGGACAAGCAAATGGTCGCGTCGTTCTTACAAGTCTTGGTCAAGATCATAACTCAAAGTTCAAAGATTTGATAGGAAAAGAATTTGTTCCAAAACATGCACGACAGTGCAATACCCTTGCATGGAATCCATTGGATAGTAACTGGCTTGCTGCTGGTCTAGATAAGCATAGAGCTGATTTTTCAGTACTAATATGGGATATCTGTAGCAAATATAGTCCTGATATAGTTCCTATGGAGAAAGTGAGACTTTCAGCAGGTGAAACTGAAGCAACATTGTTAGTAACAAAACCCCTTTATGAATTAGGACAGAATGATGCTTGTCTCTCTCTTTGTTGGCTTCCACGAGACCAGAAACTTCTGCTTGCTGGTATGCATCGTAACCTAGCTATATTTGATCTTCGGAATACAAGCCAAAAGATGTTTGTAAATACAAAAGCTGTTCAAGGGGTGACAGTAGACCCATACTTCCACGATCGTGTAGCTTCCTTCTATGAAGGTCAAGTTGCCATATGGGATCTTAGAAAATTTGAAAAGCCAGTTTTGACTTTGACTGAACAACCAAAGCCCTTAACAAAAGTAGCATGGTGTCCAACGAGGACTGGTCTGCTTGCTACATTAACAAGGGATAGTAATATTATTAGGTTATATGATATGCAACACACACCCACTCCAATTGGGGATGAAACTGAACCCACGATAATTGAAAGAAGTGTGCAACCTTGTGATAATTACATTGCTTCATTTGCATGGCATCCAACAAGTCAAAATCGAATGATAGTTGTAACTCCCAATCGAACCATGTCTGACTTCACAGTTTTTGAAAGGATATCACTTGCCTGGAGTCCAATTACATCTTTAATGTGGGCTTGTGGTCGTCATTTGTATGAATGTGCAGAAGAAGAAAATGATAATTCTTTAGAAAAAGATATAGCAACAAAGATGCGTCTTCGTGCTTTATCAAGGTATGGACTTGATACTGAGCAGGTTTGGAGAAACCACATTTTAGCTGGAAATGAAGATCCACAGCTCAAGTCACTCTGGTATACTCTGTACTATATCCTTTGCATGGTGAATGTTGTGAGATGAATCCGATAGAGGTGTTCTTAAAGCTTACTAAAAAGTCATTCTGTAAATACCATGCAAATTGTTTTATGCATGAGTACAAGTTACATAATACTAAAATTAAAAAGTAAAATTGTTTAAAACTCTTAAACTTGAAATACTGCTTTGCAAATTGTGTAGGAGGAAGCAAAGCCTATCCTTCCAGTAGATTAGTGCCTTACATGCACTGACGCCTATTATGAATTGGCTCCAAATCAAAACTAATTTAGCTTTGAAATATTTTATTATACATCATCACTAGTATTTCCTATGCATTTAAATACTTATGAAGCAGTATACAGAAGATATGGATCAGAAGTCTTCAGGCAACAAAGGACCATTGGTTTATGCTGGAATTAAATCAATTGTAAAATCTTCTTTGGGTAAGAAAACTCTTATTATCAACGCTATATAATTTTTTTGCAGTCATTTCCCCCCCATCATTTAGCAGAAATTAGCTATTTTAGATAGTGTGCATAAATACTCTTGTCTGATTAGATGTTTTAGTGAATTGTTAGACTTAATGCATATACAAAATCCTTTTGAAAGGGAGTCTTGGTTCTTTGTCTTTCTAAGTTTGCTCTGTTATTTTTTGAAGACTTACTTTAAGAGGCATTAGATTAGGTGCTTTATAAAGTGTTGATGATTCATTTTAATATTATCACAGTATTTTGCTTTTAAAAACTAAATAGAAAGGCACTAACTGAAGGATACCTCTTTGTATTTTGCTACCTTAACACTTTTTACCTAGTCATATAATGGCAAAGACTGTAATTGTGACATGAAGAATGGTCCTACATGAAGGAGCTATATCTGAGATAATCTTTAACAGTCGGTATGAATTAATGTATGTTTTAAATTGATAAACTATTTTGGAAATCAAATAAAGATGACAGATAAATAAAAATAAACATTTTTAATTAACTGCTCTAGTAGTAGCTATTATTTTTTTGGAATTGTGAGTTATATTTTCACTGTCACTCTGACCTAGGATTTGATGTCTAGCTTCTTATAGTGGTCAAATTTGGATTCAAGCTGCTAGAAAAGTAATTTATATTAGCTAGAATAAGCTCTGGCCTGTGAACCATAAGGCTGGTGGTTTGAACCCATCAGCTGCTCTATGGGAGAAAGGTGAAGCTTTCTGCTCCCACAAAGACTTAACAGCTTCAGAAACTCTCCAGGGTCGCTCTGAATAGGAACCCACTTGATGGCACTTAACAACAGTAACAAAGTCAAAGAGCAGTAGTAGAAGTCATAAATCTAACTTGTTTTGTTACAGCACTTTCATTACTACACAATAATATGCTAATTTTTCATCTGAATAGGTTTAGCATTGAAATCAAACTTGTACCTAGTATAGTTAGTTTATGATATAGTTATTGTTGATTTTTAAAGGCTTTCAAATTACTTATGTCCACAAACAGTAGACTACTTATCTATTTTATTTTGGCATTCTCCCGTTAGTCCTCCGCCCAAAAGTAATCTTTGTTATGAGCAGTAAAATGAATGAGTTTATCTAGAAACTCCTGATCTTGTGCCTTTATTAAGTTAGATACAAGTACAGACATACTGTATTACCCCATAAATGAACCTGAAGACCACGGTTCATGCTTTTAGAGCCACTGCTTCAAAGGATTCAGAACCATGTTTATAAAATTTACATATTTGAGCAGTATGTCAGGCCATAGTGCCTTTTCAATTATTCTGAGGTTGATTATTATTTTTGTTGTCTTTTGATGTATTTTAGGGAAAAACCAACAAACAGCCTCTGATGAAAAGCAAAGGGGAAAATGGAATATCTTTATATAATGTTTCTGGTGCAGTAGAGACAAATTGTGTATCCCAATCCTGAGCCAAGACTAGTCTTTACCCAAACTAAAGAAAGACTACTGTTGGGACGATTTGTTCATTCCCTCAGTGCTAAATTGCCAGCTTTTTGTCTGGGTGCATTTAGATATTTTTAGTTTTATTACCCAAAGGTAAAAAGTGAGGCAGTTACTGTCGATGATCATCTGACTAGATGGTTTTCTAATCTGGCAATACTTCACTCTCTTATCTCTAGTAAATCAGCACATAGTGAGTCAACACATTAAGCTATCTTGCTCATGATAATCTAGCGCCCAAATACATAATAGTATACAGTTCAAATAACACCTATTGAGTGCTTACTATAAATTAGATACGATGCTAATTGTTCTTCCCATGTTGCTTTTTTACTTCTTATAACTGCAATATGAGGTGAGTTTGTTCGTTCACTTGACAGAGAATTACTGCATGCTCACTGTGTGCCAGGAATCATGCAGGAATTGGAGACATGACCATCAACAAGGTAGACAAGTCTCCTCCCTCATAGAACTTAAACAATATAGATATTTCTTTTTTTGAGTTTACATTTCTAGTTCAAAATATGGACAAGTAAACAAGGAGTTGTAAGTAAGAATAGATAGTCATACATGGAAGGTATTCCTAATACGGGTTTTTAAGGATTTGAGAAGGTTTCTTAGAGGAGGTAGAGACAAAGTTCAAACCGGGAGCAGCATAGGTGATATATACAGATGGAAGCCAACATAGCACATTTAGTGTTGCTGGCAGAGTGTGAGAGGGAAGCTAGGAAAGAATGGGCTAGCAGTAGCTCAAGCAAGGATTAGAAATCATAAAGATTAGGGAGTTTATCATCCTTTAACAAGAGGAACCAAGGAAGGATTTTAAAGAGTATTAACAATTAGACTTGTGTTTTAGATTGATAGCAGTGATATCAGGTAGGAGCCTGTAGACAAGAAGTAATTAATACCAAAGTTACTAGCAGAGAGGCCAGAGAAACATGGTTAAATTACAAAGTAGAACAAAATTTAATGATTAATTGGACAAAGGTGGAAAAGAAAAATAAGTAAAAAAAATACGTTGAATATTAACAATTATTAAAATATTTCTCTGTAAAACTAACTTGTTTTCTAAATATATTTCAGCATAAACAGTAAAGCAATTAATACTAAAATTTTTCTTTTTTAGGAATGGTGGAAAGCAGCAGACATAATTGGAGTGGATTAGATAAGCAAACTGATATTCAGAATTTAAGTGAAGAGAGAATCTTAGTGTTACAGCTGTGTGGGTGGATTAAGAAAGGAACGGATGTGGATGTGGGGCCGTTCTTGAACTCCCTTGTCCAAGAAGGAGAATGGGAGAGAGCTGCTGCTGTGGCTTTGTTCAACTTGGATATTCGACGGGCAATTCAAATCCTGAATGAAGGAGCGTCTTCCGAAAAAGGTATTAGGTTAGATTCTAAAATATCAGTAGCTCGTTGAATCATTTAACATAAGCATGCTGGTATTTTCCACAATCTAATCAAATTAATGTTTTCATGTGAGTTTTTGCTGAAAGTTTACATATTAGTCCATCCCTCTTGTTTATAACTTAGTTTAAGTTTGTATAAAACAAACTTCATCTGTTAAATGTTATTTTAGTAATAAATTTAAGCTGTGCTTAAATGGTGTGATTTTTCAGTGATTTTTATTTTAAATGTAGCTCGCTCCACAAACACTTTCAAAATGTATTTCTTTGGAAATTAGAGCTTCTTTAGTTTGCAAGCATTTTTCTGGCCAAACAGTTGAGTACTTTTTAGTTTGTGTTTTTTCTTTTGGAAAATTATTTGTTAACCTTTAGGAAATAGATTGACACTTGTAGTTAGAATAGTGTTTTTGTTGTTATGTGCCATAGGGTCAGATGTGATTCATAGCAACCCTTTATAGGGTTTCAGAGGAACAGCTGGTGGGTTTGCATTGTTGATCTTGTGGTTAGCTGTACAATGCTTATCCTACAGCGTAGCACCAGGTTTCCTAGATTCGTGTGTTGTTGTTAAAGTGCCATTGAGTCAGTTCCAACTCATAGTAACCCTCTATAGGGTTTCCCAAGAGTGGCTGGTGAGATTTGAACTGCCTTTTGTTCAAACTGACCTTGCAGTCTAGTGCATTATCCTGCAGTACCACACCGGACTCCAGATTAATGTTGTTGTTATGTGCCGTGGAATCAGTTCTTACTCATAGTGACCCTGTACAGGGTTTCCGAGGCTGTAAATCTTTACGGGAGCAGAAAGCCTCATCTTTCTCCCATGGAACAGCTGGTTGTTTTGAACTACTGACCGTGAGATTAGTAGCCTGATTTGTAACCACTACGCTACCAGAGCTCCTTAGTGTAGAAAACTGCTTCTACTTAATTAAAATATTTGTTCTAATACAAATATAGTATTTACCACTAATAAGACAAGGATGTAGTGCTATAGGATAAGCACTGGACTGGTAACCATAAGGTGGGCTGTTCAAAACTACCTGCTGCTCTTAGAAACCCTTCTGGTGTTGTTCATGAGTTGGAACTAAGAAACACACAGCAACAACATCAAAAGTCTGTGGTCTCTCTATGAATATACATTTAATATAAATTAGGGAAAGCTGTATTATTAGCATGGGTCTGTAAAAATTATCATATTATATATAGAAAATTACTTAAAAATATCCAACTATAACTATTTTATAATGAAAAACTATACCATTTAATATCCTTTTTTAAAGAATGGTACTCAAGTTTGTAGAGTCTTGGTGTGGTGTTGTAGGACAAACACTGAATTGCAAAGTCAGTAATACAGACTCACCAACTGCTTCTCAGAAACCCTGTACTGGGTCTCTGTGAGTCAGAACCAACTTGACAGCACTTAACAACAACAATAATCAAGTTTGTACTCTGATATTTTGCCACAGAGTACTCAGAAGCAAATCATTTTTAGTTTTTGTTGTTTTTTTTTTCCTTGTCAGAAGTATTTCACTTGGAAATACTTAAGATATAGATAAACTGTATAGGGTTTCCAAGGGTATGAATTTTTACAGGAGCAGAAAGCCTCATCCTTCTCCTAAGGAGAAACTAGTAGGTTTGAGTTGCCAGCCTTGCTGATAGCAGTCCAGTGCTACCAAGGCTCCTGAAGATGCCAAAAAAAATGCCAACCCTACTGCCGGCTAGTCAGTTGCGACTTAAACTTAGAGGACAAAGTAGAACAGCTCCCTGGGATTTCCAGGGTTGTGTAAATCTTTACCGGAGCATCTTTCTCTTGTGGAGCGGCTAGTGGGTTTGAACTGCTGATCTTGTGATTAGCGGCTCAACATGTAACTCACTAGGCTTCTAGGGCTGCTAAGACGTAGATAGGTATCTTTTTAAAATATACCTAGCAAATGAGTATTCAGAATATTTATTATCTCTACTACATTTTTTGTTCCGTGGGAGAAAGATGAGACTTTCTGCTCCTGTAACGATTTACAGCCTCGGAAACCGTGTACAGGGTTGCTATGAGTCGGAACCGACTCCACGGCACATAACAACAACAACAACAACAACATTTTTGGAGTCCTGGTGTGGCTCCGTGGGTTAATGTGCCAGACTGCAAAGTCATTTGAATTGCAAGGTCTGCGGTTCAAGCTCACCAGCCGCTCCTCAGAAACCCTATACAGGGTCTCTATGGGTTGGTATCGACTTGACGGCACGTAACAACAATAACAACTCCATTTTTAAACTATTGTAGGTCTGTTGTACCATAGGAGGAAAAAAAAGTGAAATTAGCTGTAGTTATTTGCAGTCTTATAGTTGAAAAAGCTAAAGTTTTGTGCAGATTAGCATCTTTCATTCACTTTTTTTCTAACATCTGCCTTCCTCATTTGAGAGTGCATTAGAAGCTACGTTGTGATGGAAAAAATAATTGATGTTCGTAATCATTTCTAATTATACTTTTACTGCAGCCTTAAAGTGTAATACTTTCCTGTCATGTGTACCTGGGAAATTGATGTAAGAAACAGGAAAAACTAGCTTTCCAGGAGTTTATATAAATTGGTTATGGACTGAAGGAAAAGACTTTATTGTATTGAGTCAAATATTCCCTTTCAATTAGAAGTAAATTCTGTTGTTACAATTATTTTAAAGACTTTAAATCTAGTTTAATAGAGCAGGCAGAAGAAACAAGTATAAAGTTAGTTGGGATAAATGTGTATAGAAAGAACAATGATACTAAGAACAGAAAATGAGAAAGGCTGTTTTATTTACAAGAAAAAGAAAATGATTGTTGAATTCTCAGGAGTACTGGTCTTCAGCAAAAAGGAAAGCTTATGTAAATGTGAAGCTATTTTAGAATAAAGATTAAAGGTAAATTTAGTCTTTCTCTTTTGAGGCTAAACTTTCTTTGAAGGCTAGACAGCCATAGAAAGCTAGGTTGATGGCTTAGCAACAGCTATATAAACTGTTAATAAGAACAAATATTTATAGGATTATTGATCACCAATGCTTTATAGCAAATGTGTCTAAATTGAATTTTGTGGTGATTCTGGTAAGTTCATTTTGCCTTAGAAAAATGGAAGATACAATACTATAATAAAAATGCTGAAATACTGAATTTCTGCAATTTGAAGTTGACAAAAGTATGTGCCTTATATGTTTAGGAACAGGAAGACAAAGTCATTTTGAAAATTGCCATATTAAGATAAAATGGTATTTACTATTAGTGCTGTTAAATATTTTAAGGTGATTGTTTATTAATAAAATTAATAGTAGCTAGTGTTCGGTGGTTTGAGCTCATCAGCTGCTCCTCGGAAACCCTATACTGGGTCACTACTGGTCAGAATTGACTTGATGGCACTTAACAACAACAACAGTAGCTAGTAGGACTTCTCGTGTGGTGCTGTGGGTTAATGCACTGGACTGAAAGTCAGTCTGAACTGCAAGGTCAGTGGTTCAAGCTCAACAGTCGCTCCTCCAAAACCATATACAGGGTCACTTAACTCTACAGAACTTAACAACAACCACAGTAGCTAGTAAGATGGCTTTATTTTCCCCCCTTTAGCTATTAAGCAAATAGCATATAGTATAGGAAATTGATGAAAAGGAGACCTTGAAAATTAAAGGAAGAACTTGTTCTATATAGGATTTACATATATAGATGTGAATTTTATAAGAATGAAAATACTTGCTTTTGTCCTTAGAAAAGTTTCCATTCTGATTAAAAAATTTTATCCTAGTGGGCTGATTTTTTTTAGGGTAAAAGTCCCTGATCATTACTTGATTCTGTTTAAGAAATGTGGAAGAAGGGGATATTAAGCTTTGATCGTTTTGTTGAACTGTTATTAATATGCAGGAGATCTGAACCTCAATGTGGTAGCCATGGCATTATCTGGTTATACGGATGAAAAGAACTCACTCTGGAGAGAGATGTGCAGCACTCTGCGATTGCAGCTGAACAATCCATATCTGTGTGTCATGTTTGCTTTTCTGACAAGTGAAACAGGATCTTATGATGGAGTTTTGGTAAGCTGGTTTCTGTCTCACAAGCCCCTCCTTTTAATTAGGTAGGCATTTTTATCTTTGTTGAAATTTTAATATTTCTGTTGCATGAAGTATACGAGGATTAAATAAAATATTGCTACTAGTATTCCTTTTCATAGATACACACTGGTTTATTTCAAACAAAGCACGTTTAAACATGTCTCTGCAATCTGTGGGTTGTTGTTGTTAAGTACCGTCGAGTCAGTTCCAACCCGTAGCAACTCTGAATAGGGATTTTAAGGAGCAGCTGGTGAGTTTGAACTGCCGACCTTGCAGTTCAAACTGACTTTGCAGTCTAGCGCATTAACCCACAGTGCCACAGACAGATTCTCTCATCTCAGTAACACATTTGTCTTAGTCTCATTAGGATGCATACAGAAAAGGATACTTTTTGTGCCATGTAAAAAATAATTGTGAAGTCAGAGCTAATATCAAATTTTTAACAAAACTCAAGTGAACATTTTCCCGAAACATTGAGACTTTGCAACAAGTTTAAAGCAGTGATGCTACACTAATAGATAGTTTTTAGATGGATCAAGTATTTTAAGAAAGTTCAGGAAGACCTCAAAGTTGAGACATGAGAGGAAAGACTGTCACCTCTGACAAATGAAGAAACTATGAAATGCAGAAACTGGTGGGAAAAGACTACAGAATTACCATTGATCTGATAGCTACTGAAATTGGGATGTAACATGATTCGTTCTGCATTTTTAATTTTAAATAAACATGTTAGCCTCAGCAAGCTTTCAGCTTGATTGGTGCCTATTATGCTGTGTGAAGATCAGCTAGCTCAGGCAGCTGATTTTTTATCTGTCTTTTAAGCAAGATCAAAACTAATAAAGATTATGTTATGGAATATATAGTAACCAGGAATGAATCTTGACTTTACAAGTAATCCAGAAAGTGAGGTCTAATCAAAATTGGCTTCTGAGGGGATCTGATGGGACAGTTAAACTCAAGGCAGAGAAGTCAGCTAAGAAGGTTAAGGCTACTGTTTTAGGGGATTACAGGGATAATCTTGTTAGATTTTTCTCAGTGGATACAGGACAATCACAGGGACTTACAAGGACAAGTTTTTAAGAAGATTGAAAACTACACTGGTGAGAAAAAGGCCAGGCAAGTTGTGCTGGAGAATTTTTTTTTTTTTTTTCATCATGACACTACCTTCTCAATCTTCATGGGTAGCAAGGGACATTGAGAAATCTTGCCACTGTCTCCCCTATAGTTCCTTTAGACTGCTTTTTGTTCCCAAAACGTAACATTTCAAAGGAACACTAATTGAGTCCCTCAAGGATGACAAACCTACTTTTTGATGTGGCATAAATCTAAAATTACAGCATTCTTTAGGGAAAGGTTTGTTGTTCTGACTCAGAGACCCTGTGTAGGGTCTCTGAGGAGCAGCTAATGAGTTTGATCAGCTGACCTTGTGGTTCAGACTGACCTTGCAGTCTAGTGCTTGTCCTATAGTGCCACACCAGGGCTGTCTAAAAATGGAAACAGATCCATCTAAACCTAGATGGAGGATATTTGAAGAAACAATAGCTTCACATTTTGTTATTTTTGTTTAGTAAATGCTTCTATGATTTCTTTGAGCCCTGGTGTGGTCCTCTTGGATAAACCCTGGACTGCTAACCACCAGGCTGACAGACCAAACCATCAAGCCACTGTTGAAAATGCTATACAGGGTCACTTGGAGTCAGAACCAAAACCACGGCACATACAGCAAAATTATTTTATAGCAGTACTTTTAACTTATAGTATTTAAAGGACATTAAATTTTTTTTTTGAACAGCTTTGTTTTTTAATGTGATTCTAAGCCAAAGTTACTTCTTATTAAGTGTTTTTTTTTTTTTAATGTTGTGAATTATGTGATAGTTTACATGGGAAAAACATTAGTTTTGCATTCATTCTATTATATATCGTTTCATTGCCATGGTTACAATCCCCTCCATGCATCATCAACCAACCAAAGGGTATACCCTGCAAGCCTGTCCCCTACACTACCTCCCTCCGCAAGTCTTCAGCACACAGTTGCTCTCTCTCTCTGGATCTAAAG